TCATAGCAGTCAAAGGAAATTAGGAAAAACATAGTACACGAAGAAACGAATAAAAAAAATTGTGCTGATCCGAAATGATAGAAAAAGTATAATGTCATTTTGGCATAACCAACGAAAATTATTTTTTTTCTTATTTCTATTTATGAATTTCGAGAATCCGAACGGGTTAACCTCACTTTCGTAATGGATTTTAGAGCAGTCGAGGGACTGGCGAGAGATCAGATGTGGACAATTTTTTTATTTAACATCAAATATAATGATTTTATATACTGATGCGTACAAGTCGACTGAAGCATATGGGACGATGGCAGTTCTCATATTAGATACAAAAATGTGAATAGCTGCTACCGCAGATAAAGACGCACAGGTACATGCGTCAGGTGATAACGATAATGTAATACGAGCTTTAGTGGCTTTTAAAAAATCTGGGATATTTATGGGCGAAGTTCAAAGTGCTTTTCAAGTAAGTTTAACTTAATATATTATCCGTGGCAACGCTAGCTGCAATCTCTGCGCTATAACCGTACAGTACACGTATACACAGAGTGCATCTATAGATTTAGAATTTTTTAAAAGTATCCTTGTACACGAAAATAAAAAGGTATAATACCTCTTTGATGTTTTAAAGCTTTAATACGCCAGCTCGGTACCGAGAACCGACTTGATATCTAAAGACTATATATACATATATAAGGCCTACTGGAATCAATCGTAACAGTGTCGTGCGATTATAACGTAAGTATAGAATTCCACGAATCTTCCATCGAGATAAGAGGATCCTTTTATATTGAGGAAACAATATCGTGAGAATTAAATTACGTAAAATGTCGTACAAATAGTATCCACTTAAATAATAATTTCATCTTCTTTGTTAGTGGGATGCTGAAGCGCTTCTGCTTCTACCCTGTAAGATAATGCATGGTAATTGGACATTAAGGAGAGGATTACGCCGTTTAACACATTTCACGCAGCTTATACTTCGCGGCAATGCATTTTTATCTCTCGTGGTGTATAGTAATTAAGAGGATTTTAATTAAAGGGGATATACGGAGACCTATGCCCCTTATGGTTACCTATTATATCTTAAATATATGTTATACCTATTACGCAAGAAAGCTTTGCGGTTTGTAGGATTTTCTTCGCGCAAACCGCGATGTCGCAATAGACGTCGACGCTGACGCCAATTTATCATGTTTCAACGTCGACGCGCAGGATACGTAAATTACCGAGTCCCAGGTCAAAAAAAGATCTCTAGGGATCGTGCAACCATCAACAAAGAAAACTCGATCGATGAAAGCGTGATTTTAATACGTTTTATGTAAACCCAAAATTTGATATAAACGATTTTATCCTAGCGAACAATAATCTATTTTTTAAAATTTTAATTAGTAACTTAATCCGATTACAGGTGGATCGATTGCTGATGTGAAAAAAGCTTCGAAATTAGATAGTGAAATGAGATTAATAATAATTATGAACAGGATACCCAGAAATATTGATATTTTATTATTTATACTAGGACATGGAAATACTATTTAATAAACAAAAAAACAGTCAAACCCTAAAGAAACCTCAGAAGCTGTTTCAGAGTACAATGGCGAAAATCGTACCTAGTGTCAATATCAATTATATTATCTTGCGTGATTTCAGGGCACAAAAATAATTACATAACTAACACACGTTCGTTAATTCATTAATATACACATTCAATGCTTCGACTCAAAAGCTATATAGCGAATGTATCGATTTACAGTGAAAACAACCAATTGTTAAAATAGAATATGAAATGTCTGCTCCATTAAGTAATGGAGATGTAGGACGGCACAAAAAGACAAGTATTATAAATATACGTGACATTAATTGCTATAATGAGAATTCATGGAAGCGAGTACGTGTCAATTTCCTAATAAATGAAAATTCTTCGCCAATGGGAATGTTTTCGTGTATTTTATATCAACGCCATTGGCTTATATACATATAGTAAATCGCAGATCGTTACGTAAGAGGACACCCCGGTAGATTACATTTGGTGCCGCCGCGGTAGATTTAAGCGAAATATAATAGAAAAGAAGTACCGAGTTACAGTATATAGATCATCTTATCGAGAGAATTGTTTTCTTTTTTAATACTGGATACAATATTAAATACAGTAAATTGTTTCAGATTCGAATACATGGTTCGAGCCACGCTTCGGAAATGTATAAAATCCAATAGATGGAAACGAGTTGAAAGAAAATACAGAAAAATAAAAGGGGAAAGAAATTACAAAGGCTCGAGAGGGAATGTATAAGGCTTTTAATGTCAAATAAAACGTAGCAATCGCAAATGGAGAAGCCATTGTCGATATCGAGCGAACTGGTAGATATACGCATGCAATTAATGAAAGGAGTTATAGAAAATGAATAAATAAGGGTTGAGAGGTACTGGTACTCTGGTGATTAATCGTTTTGTCGGTTTTAAAGTGTGCGATTCCGATTAAGGGACGGGAAGCGTGATTGATGTTGGTTGCTTGAAAACACATCGACATTATTTTATTTGAACTTTCCCGCTATACATATAAACCATTTCACGATATCCGTCATTTTTCGATTCAGCTCGTGAAAATATAAATACATTATATCCACACACTTTAATTTACCATCATGTTACATTTAATATAACGTAGCCTTACGTTCATCCTAGTTCAACAATAATCAAGTCTATTCTAACTGATACACGTAAGTTAACCTAATCTAGTCTAATACAAGGTCGAGTAATTTTCTTACCCAGCGACGATGCTGTATTCTTCCAAAGAGATGAAAAGCTTTGAGTTTAAAGCAGTGTCATAGTTAATTCGCATGCGAATGTCAACAGTAAACAGAGAAAGCCTTTACAACCTCAACGATCGTGAACTCTTGGGAAACGAAAGTCTCTAGTGACGTATGTAAGTCGCTACCACGCATAGTGGTCAAAGGCGTCGCGACGCCTATTGCACCAACGCTACAACTGGTTTTACGAGAGTTTCTGTTGCCATGCCTAAAAAACAGTTTGCGAATCAACCATTTTATGGATTTATGCAGAGCAGCGAGAAACTTTCCACCGTGACGTTCATCGCGTGGATTATCGATTGGATTGGAGATTTCGAAAAAGGGGTTGCGCGAGCAGCTCAACTTGGAATATCGTCGCAACTCGTAACGCAACCGTAAACCTTGGCGGAACACATAAAAACGAAATGACGCGCGACGACGAATTTTACCGTGAAATTCTCGATTCGCTTGCGAGCCACTAATGCGATACTTTTATCCCACTACGCAAGAGGGTGATAAGGATAACACTTTTCGATAATGCTAAGATCGAAGTGAGTAATACCTAAGTTGTTTTCACAATTCTTTTGGAGTAGGACGTACTATATCTGTCTACAAATAAAAGATAGGTATTAACCTAATTTTTTTTCTCGTTTCCCAAGACGAATCGTATGGGCTAGTTCTCATGCGATAAGCGTTGAGTATTACTCTATTTCACTTGAAGGGAATAAAATCAATGTTGAGTTTTCTCAAGTGGAAACAATACCTTTATTCTCCCACTCGTGGACATATACGTCGTCCAATTCTTGAGAAATTGGAGTTTTATGAAATCCGTTTTTTCGAATTAAATTGAGATTTGCAGTGTAGTATTCCTGCCATTGTAATATACAAGCCTACAGCAATGCTGGTATCAGATCCGAGACAACGGTAGAGACCGATCCGGATATCCGAGAGGAGTAATTCGTGGCTTATAGAAATCATAGTATTAAGGTGTACGAATAAATTAACCAGTCGCTTTAAATTACCTAATTTAATTAAACGTAAGATCAGGTAATCAAAGATAGTATATATTTAATGACGTAAGTGAGTACTTCAAGTAATCTTCAAGATACCGTTATGGATGGTTACCGAAGCCTTTGAAAAACTTTAAAAGGTCGATTATTTTCTCTCTCTATTTTCTTCCTCGTTTATCTATCTTCTACAGCCCACGACGATTTCGACAATCAAAAACTCTATTTTATCTAATTTGATACATGAAGCTAATGTATTGTGAACTGCGGTCTAATCGAATTGAAGATACCCCTCTAAAAATTCAAGAGAAACCAGATTTTTTCTATCGGTATTTACTTTTTACGCTACGTTTTATTCTACGTTTTACGCATGTTTCACCTTTCACTATTAGCTATATATAGCCGACTGTATAAACACGAGAAGCATAATTCACAGTGCCGACAAATGCAATACAGCTGTGTATATCACATTGGACTTTTAATATTCGCTAATTGCGCGTCGGCCACGTAAGAGGCGATGCGACGATAAAACCCACTGTAGTACGTAGAGACTAAGCTTGACAGCCAGACAGTAAGGTTGGTACCTATACTGAATGACCTTTCGTGAGCTGGCAGAGCTGCGAAGAAAAATCTACGATAACAAGTAAAAACGAGCGTTACAAAGCAGCGGTGTTACGATTATTTTTATTTTCATAGAGTTTATGCGTGCGTTACACTATTAATAAACCTTGGCTTATATAAGCTATCCAATTAAAAATAGAAGTAATCTTTAAGATTTGATTTATCAAGGTCTGCAGCATCCAGATACCTGGGAAGTAAAGCACGACGGCCAGCCGTTAATGGACGTTTAGTCTTTTTATCGAACGGGGACCCTATTGTTTTAGGGGTAGAATAAAACGTCAAATTTTAAAACTGCCTAAAGTTCCTCGTTTTTTTTTTTAATTTAATCAGTCGTCTCTTCGAACATCCGTATATAAGCGGCCGAACGAAAAGCTCAATCATTCAGGTTACATTGAGGAGAAAATGCCCGTCTCCATTTTACAACCCCTCTTTGTCACCTGCTTTTCGTCAGCTCTCTCATCCTTAGTCTGTGCTAATGATCTACAAGCGCTTTAATAGCCAATAAAACTCTCAGTTCACCGGAACATTTTCCGCGGGTAACTCAAGTGCTTATCTCCACTCTTAGTTGCACGTAGCAAGAGCTATTATTTACTCTGTCTCTTGACACAGTTACGCTATTTCGTGATTGAGCAACGCTGAACTTATCCACTACAAGCCGATCGGATTATTTTAACCGGGACAAAATTTGTAGGAGAGAATATTCCTGAAAGCTGCTTCTATATGTCGGGATTGACAAGTAATCCTCACCCGAATGCTGGGGCATATATGTGTTCAGGAGGTTACGTAATACATAGTAAATAGTCACGCTATTGAAACACACAATAAGCATCGATCGGCTGAGAAATCGTCCAATAACACAAAGTAAGAATTTTTTATTCGTAATGTTATAAGTTTTTACCTATAGGGATACAATAGTGACGAACCCTTTAATTTACGTACATATTATGTCCCCGAGTGGGAAATTGTAATATTGCTAACATGTATTACCCTTTTTCCGAATATAAATTAACTAGACATGCTTGTGTATTCTGTGCCTAACGATTAGGATATTTAGAACATATATTTATTCATAGCACTTCGATGGGAAAAAGACATTTGTAGGTGCCTGCGACACCAAGGCTCGCGTGACATTATATTCGATAAGATGTCCAGTTTATTTACCTTTTGAGCCAACGGTATTACCTTGTATTTCTTGGATTTTTAATTCAAATAATCAATTAATAGGACACTTGGATTTCGGATGAATGCATCTATTATGGACTGTCTAAGGGAAATCTCTCGTTCTAGCCATGTAAATTCGTAGGGATGAGCAACGATGTAAGAGCGTGTCTTGATGTGCTGCTGCTCATTTAATGTTTTCCTTATTAATTTAATTTAAATAAAGTTTTATTTTTATGGAAATTGTAATCACTCTACTCCATGACATCTCTCAATAACTCCGGGGTACACAGGACTCGAGAACGGAATAAAAGTGTTGGGATCCGAATCTTGTGTCTACTTATTATTGAGGGATATCACATATCCCATGTGTTTCAACCAGTACTAAAACTGTTTTTCATGAGAGAATTATCCTTTTGTATCACTTTCGTTTACTTCTGCAAAGATGCATACATGTTACATTGAATTTTACTAACTAATATGTTTCCTATGACAGTGCGCACAATCTGGGCTTCTTCAGCAATTGACAGTCGACCGTTCCACGAGTGTTTTTAACAGGGTTCGATGCTACCAAAATCCTCAAAAAATAGATTTTTTGTTTTTACTTTTTTTATGTCGTGCCTGTACAATAAAATGTTTACATTATGGGTGTTACGATTATAAACGAGGCGCATGTTAAAATTTCAAACGAAGGGTCATGAATATTCTCGCTGACTTATAACGGGCTTTCCCGTAACTCGATTTTTCAGTTTTTCGGTATACTTTTCTTAGTGATTAGGAGGAAAGCTATTTACAAGTTACCTTTTTTTTTAGTTTATAAATATCGATTACATCTATCTCGTGAATCTTTTCTTTTTTATATTTTCAAAAAAAAAGCTACCCAAAAATTCTGGAATTTTTTGGATTCCGCAATGAAACATGGTTAAATCGCAAAAATAAATGTTTCTATTGAAACAAAGATAGGTCTGCGGAGTAGAGTAATTTTTTTCGAGTAATTAATTTTGAGTTTCTAATACTACTAAACTTGAAGAAGAGTCTACCGAAAATTGCGATATCCCAATTTTTAGCGTCATTTGTTTAATTAATTATCATTCTAAAAAACAACAATATCAAAATTTCCGTATTTAACAAATTTTCAGAGAAAATCTCTGTGTCAAATACTTTTTATTAATTACCGCATAATTTTAACAATGATAACGAAAAAAAGCACTCAACACAACCAAGTTACTTTATTATTTAGAGATGTCAGATGGTGTCGTCCCACTTAAGGGATCATCACAGTGTAAAATTTTCAAAAAATCGATTTTTTTTTGCATTATCCGATAGTACACACGGTTATTTTTATGTCGAAATTCGAATTATTTCGGTCGCTACAGCCTTTCTTAGAAAAAGGGATTGGAGGGTCAGACCCGGCGCAATCCGAACTTTAAACGCGTTTTTCTCGGAATTGTGTTTTTCAAAATGGTGGCCACTCTTAAAGGAAGAATTTTCAAGTTATCCATTTGAAATTTGAATAGAACATTCTTCACGTCATTTCTTATGTTGCTATCGAAGCCTTTTTCTTTTTTTTGAAATCTTCCTATTTTTTTTCGAAAAACTGTCGAAAAAAAGGCCAAATTTTATACGTTTTGTTCAAACCGACGCCCTTTTTTCAAATTTCACTAAAAACAAAAAAGCCTCCATAGGAGCATAGCGGCTTTCCTACAGATTTATAAACCATTTGAAATTTTTGTTTCAGGTAAAATTTGCGCCCGCAATCCTGGCCACCATGGGACACCATTTTTTTGCATTCAATGTTCCACAAATAAAAACAACGTTAAACAATACAAAAAAAAATTTTTTTTAAATCATTTTGTATACTTCATAGGTGCTTCAATTTGTAAAAAAAAAATTAGACCGATTACCTTATTCCATCCACCTAAAAAAAAATCGCGAAAATCGGCTATTTTTCGGGCGGTCACACTGTGATGATCCCTTAAGGTAGTGTCGTGTAAAACAGTTTTCGTCAGATCTTTTAAAAAACTGTATGTCTAATTCTTTGAAATAATACCTATAAAGTGATCCTAATTTTATTAAGATTGACCATTTAGAAGCATGGGAGAAAATGTCAAAATTTACAGTTTTTACATATTATAAAAATTTCAACATTTTTTACTGTTTCGTTTCCAACATAATAATAATTAGAACGAAAAATTCGTCAAAATTTCGTCGTACGACCAAATTTCGGTGAATGACGTAACAACAGTGCGATATACCAAAACCATGTTCCTGGAATAGAACGCGGGCGAAAGTATAAAATAATGTTACGTCATCCACAATACATTGAAGAAAGAAATGCAGAATCTTCTTATATTTGGATTGTAAAATCATGCCCAAGTGGTTTTCGTATATACATTATTTACTACTTTAAATAAAAGCCTGTTATAAAAACTCAAAGTAAGCAAAAAACAACGCAAAGAGGATAGAGAAAGTAACGAATATATAATAAAATTAATACCAATAATAAAATTGCTGGATCACTCATATGGTTCAAAGAAAAAAACAATTTTTTTAAGAAATTTGTTGTCTTTGGTAACTCGTGGCTTACCACCACATGCGACGTTGCCACGATCATAACTCTGAATCTTGGACCGTGACTGTTGCGAGTCCATGTAGATCAAACGAATATTTCAATCTGTGTGAGAAAAGTGCCACCAAAAGTATATCCATTTCGAACTTACTTCAGCAAATAATAAAAGGAAAATAGAATTAAATTAAACTTTCATAACTTGTCCACATTATTTAGTAATCCTAAAAGTGTTTTTCACAGCATATTTCACTCCAGCATCATAATGGACATTGAATGTTTCTGTCTCTTTCTGGACTAGATATTTGGACATGACTGTCGCGTAGCAGCTACATATTTATTCCATAAAATACGACACATAATTCCAGAACTTAGACAACCATAGATCGATATAACAATTCTAGTTCTTGGACTGTACAAATGAATCATTACGACCCTACCGGTGCTACGACAATTAAAACGTAGGTTAAATCCTATGTTCGGGCAGTAACAATAAATCCGTAGGCAACCAACACAACACGCAAGGAACACTACGCACAATAAATTAATTTCTATAGTAAAAGCATATAAAAAATTGCACTTTTATCATTCGACTTTATCGATTTCAGAATCTATGCCATCAACGGCACAATCAAGCTTTCCTTTTTTCGCACCGAAAGCAAAACTTAATAATAGAGCGTATCAATAAAGGAAAAGCTTATTGTCATTCTGCACGTCACTAACCCTTACATATATGTGTATATCTGTCTACCCCGAACGGTATCCATAACTAATCACAGACGCGTATCTCTATCGAATAGATAGGACACGATAGCGCCAAAAAGTGTACGTGAGAGAAAAATGTTTGTTTGGTCGAAGCTAACAAATAGAAACATGAGGCATCGTCATGTACAGATATTATTAGTAGCTGTCATATGATAACATACGACGTACTCGGATTCGCGCTCTACGTACCTGCGATCCCTTCGTTACAAACTTGACTAAGCTATGCTCAGATACATAAACGTCTGACTACAGGTGCGTATACCTGCCTACACGTCTATATATCAACTTATGTTAGAAAGAAGAAGAATATACATACATATAGTCTAACATTCTTATAAACGGACTATGCGTCGCGATTTCAGTTCGGTATATGTTTAAATAGAGAGGCTTTGTATCACTGTCAGGCTCACGTTTCCTTCATACATTTTACTAGCATATATATATATATATTTATTAATCCATATAATATGTATGTGTGCCTATATAGATTCGTATATAGTCACAAAAATAGATTCCCTTCATATACGGTCTTTCCGACTCCGTATTCCTTTTTGGAAACCTTCGCTGGTCCACCTAACTTAACCTAACCTATTTCTTCTAACTCGCTTTCTGGTATTGCGGATCTTCACTGTGCAAACCTATCATTGGCATAGACTCTTGAGTACGAAAAAATGCTCACTCCTTCGACTGCGGTTCACTCATGAGTTCGAATTTAAGTGTGGACTCTTTGATTATACCAATACGTAAGTATTATTAGTTACGTACGTCATCTGCGATCTGTAACCGTACTTTGGAGTTACACTTTTGGGTAAAGTCTATTTGCTCTTGAGAGGCTGAACGAGCCAGAGACGTGCTTACTTGGACCTTATGAAGGACTAACAATAAGTAGGAAATTTAGATTGATCGGTTTGTCATTTTTTTCTTTTTTTTCTGGGTCAATCCTCTCATATTGTTAGAGTGGTCAAATACTTATTTCTGATAATTCTGAATAATGGCAGTAGTATCGATTGGAAAATTGATAAGAAATGTTTATAAATTTGATGTATATGAGTACTTTGATTACTTAGGGAAAAGTGTATTTGCTTTTGTCACTGGAATTACATTTTTTTTTAATGTACTATAAATTGATTGAAGTATATATATATATATATATAATTGATTGAATTACATTTTTTTTTAAATGTGTACTATAAATTGATTGAAGTATCCCCATATGCTGTTTAATATTTATCGATTATTCATTGATAATATATGAATGGATTATTGGTGAATGTGGAGTAGGAACTTTATTAATTATCGGACGAGATAAAATTAAAGAGAAATATGTGTATGTTTGAGATATGGGAGAAATAATTGATAGATTAATCTGAAACACATTCGCTGACCGGCTTATCATATCTATCATCGGAATCTATTACAGGTGGACAAGGAAAAAGCGATTATCCCGTTTGGTCATTAGAAAGTCCTCATTACAATCGAATGATAATGAGAAATAGAGGTATGTATATCCTGTCTGAATTCGTACCTTAATCGAATTATATGTATTAAATATTAATTGCTAAAATTGAGAAAAGACCCATGTGAAAAACTGCAAAAAAAAATGCAAAAATAAAAAGATATGATAATCTCCTCCAATGGAGATTCTAAGAATAAAACTTAAAATTTAATTAAACGAAATTTCACAGCTTTGGCATTAATATACAATTCAGGTTTAATTAATAGGAATACGAAAGTAGCAGATTACAAAAATATTAAATTTTCAAGAGAATTTTATATTAGTATAAATGGCATTAAATAGATTGCACCATCTTACAGTACAGCTACGATAATAACAACATACAGGATAAATGAAGGCCCATTTCAGACTCCTAATAATTTTTAAAGGTTCAAGCGTAAATTGTAATCAATGGCCATGATATAAAACGGAAAAGAAGAAGTCGGCTGTGGTATACGATTTACAAATACATGCTGTTATTCACGAATCGCCGAGAGCGGTATTGCGATCAATTTGCCGCGTAGCAACCAAGTCTAAAACAAACCGAAACGCAGAGAAAGGAAATAGAGCCAGTGAGAGTCATGAGAGTCGTGAAAATCGTGAGGGGAGAGAAAAAAACAAAAAAGAAAGAAAAACCTGGAGAGAATTGCTCTTTCTCGTGAAGGCGTAGGGAGGGGCACCCTCAAGGTAAATAAAACTGTATCTGTTGCCAATCGCAATAGAGGATTCATCAATAAGTGGATGCCGTTGAAAATTCTGATATTGTCGTAACGATAAGATATGGAAAATAAATGGATCATCGAGGCGTCCATGCATACCTATATTTATTGAATATACAACACGTGGATTCACATAAGATCGAATATTGTCTACAGCGAGTATGACAATAATCATTAAAACCAAATATTTTACTTGCAATAAATCTTGTTGGAATAAGATTTACATGGGTGGGCAAGGGAAGATGAATAATTTTTTGTAGGTTAAATTGTATCTCGTGAAAATTCTTCTCATAAATTTTCTTATTTCACATACGAGATCTTCGCGTGCACCTGGGACACGGTCGTAAAGGAAATGCTGACGTCTAAACAAAGCGTTAATGTCGTAAAACGACCTTCTGTTTGCGCACGAAGTATCTTTAAAAATGCGACATAAAAGGGTCTTAGTATACATTAATATCTAACTTTCTTCAAACTATTGCATTTTGAAAATTACCCAGAGTACATTTTCCAAACTCAATATTATGGTATACGTTACATATATTACTTCACATAATATCGGTGTTCATCGATACTCGCTATAACGTAATGTTCACGGAACTGGCTATGGATTTTACGTACTATAAGACTACAGTATTGAATCCATTTAGAGAATAGAGAAACGTAATCATTCCGTGCAACAGTCAATCCCTTTAATAGACAAAACGAAGTGCAACTACAGTTCCTAGAATCGATGGTAAATTTAATCAAGGAGAAGTAGCTAAAGTGTATACACTGTATCAGTTCTCATAGTATCCATAAGGGACGCTTTCAAAGCCTAATCTGAAAACTTGAAAGCACATTTAACAATAATAACGTATTTTCGTTAAGTTTTATTATGTAAAATGAACACTCAGAATTTTAAGGTGCATTCTATTGTTGAAGGATGCTGGTCGATTTCTACTTTTTTTTAGATTACTTTTTAATTAGATTAAAGAAAATAAACGTCTGATTCTTCTCACACTGTACTGATTGTTATAATTATAGGTTGACCATGACCACATCCATAATCAGTTCCACTTACATGGACTGTCTCTATACGGACCAAAACGTAATTTAGTCCCCTAAAAGTGAAACTGATGACACGACCTGACTACACCTATCAAATGATAACAGGCTTTAAATTAGCGCGGAATTTTTATATTTAAAAGGAATAGCAGTTCTTTGTCAAATTAAATTTCACAGTGGCGCTGGACGTCGTAGGATGTAACGAGCGTCGTAGTAACTGGTGTCAAGAGTGAAAATGGGTTAAACATTG